AATATCCATTCATCCATCATCATCCTTCCATCATCCATCCATCCATCATCATCCATCTATCATCCATCCATCATCCAATATCCATTCTTCCATTATCATCCTTCCATCATCCATCCATCATCCATCATCCATCCATCCATCCTTCCTTCCTTCCTTTCTTCCATCCATACATCATCCAATATCCATTCATCCATCATCATCCTTCCATCACCCATCCATCCATCATCCATCCATCCATCCTTCCTTCCTCCCTTCCTTCCATCCATCCATCATCCATCATCCATCCATCCATCCTTCCTTCCTTCCTCCCTTCCTTCCATCCGTACATCATCCAATATCCATTCATCCATCATCATCCTTCCATCATCCATCCATCCATTATCCATCATCATCCTTCCATCATCCATCCATCATCCATCATCCATCCATCCTTCCTTCCTTCTTCCATCCATCATCCAATATTCATTCATCCATCATCATCCTTCCATCATCCATCATCCATCCATCCATCCATCCATCATCCAATATCCATTCATCCATTATCATCATTCCATCATCCATCCATCCATCCATCCATCCATCCATCCATCCATCCATCCAACCTTCCTTCCTTCCTTCCTTCCATCCATCCATACATCATCTAATATCCATTCATCCATCATCATCCTTCCATCATCCATCCATCCATCCATCCATCCATCCATCCATCCATCCAGCCAGCCAGCCATCCATCCAGCATTGTTGTTTTGTTAAACACCACCTGACAGGATCTAGTGACCTCTCCTGGTCATTCTGGCAGGTACAGAAACATGGTGTTTACTCCACAGCTCCTCTCCGTCCGTTTCACTTCAACAACTAATCTGCCTCCTCTGCAGACAGTTATCTGCTTCTTGGCGGATTAATTATCTGTATTCCTTCTCTGTCTCGTTTGAGGTCAGAGGAGCAACAGGAACCATCCTGTAAAATGTCAGGCTGCATGTTAAATACTTTGCTAAAATTCAAGGTTATAAATCACGATTAATAATCTCAGAACATCCTGTTCACCTACTGGATCACACACAGAGCCATTTATGTCTCTGCTGTCGGACCAAAGCTTCACCATGAAACATCTGATTTTACTACAGAGCAAACACCACAGTACTATGGAGTGAGAACAACAGTACTAAAGAGTGAATACAGAGTGAGTACAATAGAACTACAAACTGAGTACAAAAGTACTACAGACTGAATACTCTAGCGCTATGAAGTGAATACTATAATACTACAGAGTAAATGCAACAGTACTATGAAGTGAGGACAAAAGTAGTACAGAGTGAGTACAACAGTGTGAGTTTGACAGTACTATGGAGTGAGTACAACTGTATTATGGAGTGAGTATGACAGTACTACCGACTGAGTACATCCCTACCACAGAGTGAGTACAACAGTACTACGGACTGAGTATGACAGTACTCAACAGTCCATCTCCCAGCCTCCTCCTCTGTCAAACCAACTTTTTGCAGATCCTCCTTCACAACATCTATCCACCTTCACTCTGGTCCTCCAACCTGGGAGCTCGTTGTTCAACATCCTTGTCCAATATGTCCACTGTCCCTCCTCTGGACATGTCCAAACCATCTCACACCTTTCTGGTTTTGTCAAAAGACTGGAGCTCTGATATTCCCTCTGATGGACTCAATGGGGCTCCCTCCTAATGGAGATCTGAGCATCTTCGTCTGCCCCACTTCCAGACTCCACCATCTCTAAACTTCACAGCAGGACTCCATACCATCCTGAAAACTTTCCGTTTCCCTCTCTTGCCCCTCTCCTCCCAACACTTGTCTCCATCTACCTTTGTCCTCACCTCTGTTGTCTTCTGCTTCAATTGATTTCCATCCCTCTTCTGCTCAGAGCAGACCTCCACCTCTCCAGGCTCTCTTCCACCTGCTCCCTGCTCTCGCTACAGATGTTGTCTGCAAACATCATCATCTAACCTGTTCTACATTCTTACACTTTCCGATAAAAAAACACAACTGAACTTTGATAAAAGGCACCTGTGAGAGAAATAAGAACCTCCACCCAAAGGCAAAGATCAGGTCTTCTCACCGATCAGAGGGACGCTCTCAGATGGCGGCATGCTCTCAGCCACAAGCAGCTGGAACACGGTGAGGGCCAGCAGCACCGTCACACCCAGGGAAATCTTTTCCCCAGAGTCGGCTGGCAGGAAGAAACCCAGCGGAGCCAGGAAGGAGATCATCATGCAGGGGATGAGGAGGTTGAAGATGTAGAAGGAGGCTCGTCTCTTCAGGTGGAGCGTGAAGGTGATGTCCGGGTATGGGTCGGAGCAGCAGCCATACTGGATGACGTTCTTCTTGGCCGGCATGCCCAGAACCTGTTCAGCGAGAAGGTTTAAAAGATCTGAGCCAGGAACCAGGATTTGTTGAGAAGAGAACCTCTCACCTCCCACTCCACGTTGGGGACAAAGTCGGCCAGATCTGCACTGTCCAGTGCGTTGATCAGGTCCATCTGGTTTCCATTGTGAGTCCAGGAGCCGAAGGTCAGGCTGCACTCTTGCACATCAAAAGGAAAGAAGGCCACATCCACAGAACAGGAGCTTTTGGTGATGGCCGGCTGGTCCCACATCACCTGTCCATCATTACGGAGGACCACATTTGTCTCCATGGAGCTGGAGAATTCATCGTCTGCACTATGACACAGGAAGTTATTAGAAACCAGGAGAAGAACCAAGTCCAGTTGACAGGAAGCTTTGAGTACCTGTTGTACAGAACAATGTCAGGCCTCCAGACATAGCTGCTGGGGATCCGGATGGTGTCCAGGCCGTCATAATCCTCCTTCTTCCATGTGAGGTAGGCATCCAGCCATACCTGGCGGATCCACAGGTAGGTGGTCAGAATCTGGTTCCTCTCATCCTGATGAAACAGAACACAACAGCTGAGAATTCCCATCAGAATCCGAATCCTCAGGATGGGGGTCTAAGGACCCTCAGTTGAAATTTGAGAATTATCAGGGCAGGGTCAAAAGATCATCCTTAGGATCCTCAGTCAGTGTTTGTCAAACATTAGGATAGGTTGTAATGATCCTAGTGACACTGTCTAAGGATTCTCAGGAAAGGGTCAAAGGATCCTGAGGACAGCTTGTGAAGGCCTTGAGATTCTGAGGACCCTGAGGACAGGGTCTGGTTACCATGTCAATGATCTGGGACAGGGTGATCTGCAGCGTGACGTTGAGGATGTTGTCGGTGTCCTCCACTGGCCGCAGGGCGTTGGTGTAGTTGGAGAACAGGTCAGTCAGGAGCTTCTGGGCAAAGCGACCGTGAGCGGCGAAACAAACTGCAAAGACAAGAAGAAGAAACTTGGAGGACTCAGGTAGACCCCCAGACATCTGTCTTTGATCAGGTTGAGTATTACGTGATTGATTGTTCTGTTTTTAGAGATGTTAGAGAAGCTTTAACGCAGGAGACAACTCACATTACCATGTCCATGTTAAATCTTTTTTCATGTTTTATTATCGCCCACCGCCATGACAGGAGGGCGATCATGTAACTGCTTGTGTGTCTCCCTTCTTGCAAAATATCTCAGAAACCAGTGAAGGGATTTTTAATGAAACTTTCAGGAGGTAATCACTGGATGCACGGACACATTTGATTAACTTCTGGAGTCAGTCTAATTCAAGATGGCCGCCACGGGCAGCTGACTCAACAAAACACAAAAATGACTAACGGACATTTTTACAGATACTGAGCAGGAAGTTGGTGTGGTGGTAGCTGAGAGTCATGCCCAACGCACACGCCGAGGCTGAACAGATCACTAGAGGTCTGACTGAACTGAATGAGGTAGGAGTTGATTTAAGGTTTGACCAAAACAATCACACACACACACGCACACACGCACGCACACACGCACACACACACATGCACACACACGCACGCACGCGCACACATGCACACACACACACACACACACACACACACACACTTATAAACCACATTTCCCACATTAATTAACCTGCTGAGCACCTCCACTTTTAATCTCCAGACGTTCACGGACTGATTCTTAAATCCTGTTTGCAGGAAGTGATGAAGATGATCTCTGGTTCTGATGAAGGTCTTAGTGTTTCTCTGGTTTTGAATTTTGTTTCAGGTTTTGATGTTTTTCTGTAAAAGTTTTCAGATGTTTCCTCAGAGCAAACAGCAGCAGGAGCTCAAGAAGATGAATAAATCTTCTTCAGTCACTGAGCGTTCTTCTCCGGAACCGTCTGGTGTGAACTGGACTCTGACAGAACTCTGACGTTCTGTGGTCAACGCTCGGTCCGTGCTCACGTCTGGTTCCGTTCTAAAGGTGTTTCATTTATTATGGTCGCTGGACTCGGACCCATAGGTCCTATTGTTCCACCTGAAACATCTCCGTGTTTCTTACAGCTGTTTGTGGCTGTGAGGTCGTGACCTTTAGCTTGTTAAAGTTTGTTGGACACAGGAAGCGGAGCCGCTGGAGACAGAAACGATGACGAACACTCAGAGGTTCAACATGAACATAAAAGGAAACACCAGATGAGTTTAACGACCTGCAGATAACCAGAGAATGAAACATCTCTGACCTTTGACCTGCCGGCACAGGAGGCTCCAATCTGAGCAGCCTTTAGACAAAAATGGAAATGTCCGACGGGAAGTGAACGCCTCATGATGAGAAACGAGCTGTCTGGTTCTGTGTCAGGCTCGTTAAATCTGGATCTGATTGGTTTGGTTACTGTTTGAAGTCCTGCAACAGAAACTGGAGGAGAAGAGAACTGCATTAAATATTTTAAGGAGTCCTGGGACCTCGTCACTCATGGAGACCAAGAGAACCACGGAAAGATGTTTTTGTTTATGTCGAGAGTCTTCAAAATGTCCAACAGAACCTTAGAAGAACCACGGAGGACCTCACCAACGGAGGAACCACCTCACAGCTCTTCTGGAGTCTGATGGGTGCTGCTGGATTATTTTGTTTTTGACCATGGCAGCAATGACTCCACATGGTGAAGAAGAAAAGTCCTGAAAACAAAGAAACCTTTACAGAACATCTTAGGAATGAATGTTTCAGTCTTTCTCCCTCCTTAGATGCATTAATCTGTCCTCCAGCTCTAATGTTAAAAATCTTGGTGTTATTTTTGAACAGGACATGTCTTTTATCCCCCACATTAAAAACGTTACTAGAACCTCCTTCTTCCACCTGCGTAATATCACTAACATTAGAAACATCTGATCTAAAGATGATGCAGAAAAACTGGTCCATGCATTTGTCACGTCTAGACTGGACTATTGCAATGGTTTATTATCTGGGTGTCCAAATACTTCTTTAAAACGTCTTCAGTTGATCCAAAATGCTGCTGCCAGAGTCTTAACTGGAGTTACTGGGAGAGATCATCTCTCTCCAGTTGTAGCTTCTCTCCATTGGCTCCCTGTCAAATCCAGAATAGAATTCAAAATCTTACTTCTAACCTACAAAGCTCTCAACAACCTAGCTCCATCTTATATTACAGATCTTATTGTTCCATATTTTACTAACAGAGCACTTCGCTCTCAGACTGCAGGTTTACTTGTGGTTCCTAGAGTTTCCAGAATGAGAGGAAGATCTTTCATTTATCAGGCTCCTCTCTTGTGGAACCAACTTCCAGTTTCTGTCCATGAGGCTGACACATTATCCAGTTTTAAGATCGGTGCTTTATGAAGTTCTGTCCATTTAACCTGATTAACCTGATTAACCTGATTAACCTGATTAACCTTTCTAACTAAAGGTTGAATGAATGAATGAATTTCTTTATATTAGCTGACGGGCAGATCTGCCACATCCAACATGGCGGCCGCTCTGACGTACCGCTGCAGCAGCTCCATGATCTTTGAATATGATCAGACCATGTTGTTTTAATTAGCTTCATTCAGTCTTCCGCTGATGTCGGCACAAGATGGATGTTAGTGCATTACAATGTGCGTGCGTGTGTGCATGCACGCATGTGTGTGTGCGTATGTGTAAACTATTCAAGTGAAGTGTACAGTGAAGGACTGAAAATGAGAGTTTTGATACATTTACGGTTAAATGTTTATTTTGTTGAAAGGACAAAGTTTCAGTTTATTTGGTCACAACAGCCGTGGCCTCAGCACTGAACAAAAACAGCTACAAACATTATAAAAGACACTTAGTAAAAGTTATACATCTAAAGAAGAAATTAACATTTCTATTTTTATTTTAGTTTAAGGGCAGCACGGTGGCGCAACTGGTAGAGCTGCTGCCTCTCAGTGAGCAGGTCCCTGGTTCAAACCCCGGTCCAGGGGCCTTTCTGGGTGGAGTTTGCATGTTCTCTCCGTGCATGCGTGGGTTTTCTCCGGGTACTCCAGTTTCCTCCCACAGACCAAAATCATGCATGTTAGGCTGATTGGTAACTCTAAATTGTCCCTAGGTGTGAGTGAGAGAGTGAATGGTTGTTTGTCTCGTTTGTCTCTATGTGTCCCTGTGATGGACTGGAGACCCGTCCAGGGTGTCCCCCGCCCCTCGCACAGTGATTGCTGGACATGGGCACCAGCGACCCCCGTGACCCAAAATGGAATAAACGGGTAAAGAAAATGGATGGATGGATTTTAGTTTAAACTAGATTATAAGAAAGAGTCTGTACAAAAGATGTGAAAGAATTAGATTTTAGAAAAGTTTTTCTTATATAAATATTTTGTATTGAAGTCCCGCCTGAATGCAGCATCGAGTCAGTCGTTCAGGTCGTTTTAACAGAAAACCTTCAATTCAAAAATACTTCATTAATCAGGAGGGAAACGAAATAACTTGAGAGCTTTTGTTAAATCTCTTCCCATCTGAATAATAAACAACAATCTGATAACAATGAGTTATTTTCTGTCTGAAACCGGAGGAATGAAAAGAGTTGATAAACCTTTCTTCTGCTCAGAACATCTGGACTTTATCAAACATCTGTTTACCTGGGACGATGAAGAGGAGCAGCAGGAGCGCTGAGCTGCACAAGATCTTCATCCTGATCACTGATTGATCCGATCGATCGGAGCCGAGCGATCAAACATCTGCTGAGATCGGAGGATGAAGCAGAGTGAGAGGGTGGTGGTGAGGAGGAGGAGGATGAAGAGGAGGTGGTCACTGCTGTATGAGGGGTGGTCAGTGCCTCCTTCAGCCTCCTCCTCTGCTCCATCATGCAGGCCTCAGCACACTGTAGGAGCTGGGAATCAAACTCCCGGCCTTCGACCTCACACTGTCTGTGTGTCTTGTTGTTTCCAGACAGGTTCATTGTTTGTTTGTTTGTTTGTTTGTTTTCTATTCTGTTTTTTTTTTTCTTTTGTCTCCCAAGTTTTCAACATGAGGCTTAAAAGAGAGATGAGAATCAAACTAAATGTCCAAGTATTGTAAGAACCTATAAACTCAGTAAGGACACCGTTCAAAGATAAAACAGAAGGAAGGACTGCTGGGACCGACCTGCTTGAACGCAACATCCCTTTGGTTTCTTTGTGGTTTCTTTGGCGTTAACAGTCCTTTAGAGCACCTGACGGTATTTCTGAATCGTAAGGCCCGGCCTGGGTTCAGACCTGGGTTCTGTGTGTTTGCAGTTATGGCCCTTTTCCAGCCTGGTTCCTGGAACCCAGAGACCTGGGGTTCCAGCGAGGCTGGGCTGTTGGGTTGGTTTGTTGTAAACAGCAGCAAGTGAAATCGATGTAAACTCCGTTGGTCTGCGTTTAGTGATGAAGAGCTCCACCAGTGCTGAAGTGTTTGTTCAGTGTCTGCCCCCACAGAACAACAACGGAGCCGTTTAAAATGTTCCCTTTGGAAAATGTTTTTAAAAATCTGAACCCAAAGAAAAAACATCCAAAGAGGAACAGAGAGGCCGGAGAACTGAGATCCAGAACCACTGGAAGTGATCCCAGAACAGCCTGGATCACTGGATGGAGGGTTTGAGCCTGACAGTCAGCACGGAGGGAAAACAGCAGAGCTCAGCTTGACATGAAAGGAAAAACATTCTGATGTTCTGATCAAGTTCTGATCAATAAAAAATGGTTTAATGTCCTAAAGAATGTTTTCCTCTTTGAACTCAGACCTTCTGAAAATGTCTGAAATATTTCTTTACTCACTGACAGATAAATCCGTCTCCTCTGCGGTCGGCACAGGAACGAGAATAAATTATAAAATAAGTTTAAAAAGTGACCCGAGGTCTTCAAGAGGAGATTAACGGATTAACAGGATTAATTTATTCTGGGTGAAGAGGCCAGGTGGTCAAAGGTCAAACCACTCCCTCTGATTTATTTAACAGAATTTACCTTTACTCCTCAGTTAAACAGAGCCCAACCGGTCCGGACCGAACCAAAGAACCAGGAGATGGAGCCAAACAGCCTGAGGGATGAAGGCTCATCTTGCACACGTGAGTCCACCTGCCGGGTGGTGACCCCTGAAGATGGAAAATCTGAAAAAAGAAGAAGAAGAAGAATGACTGTTAAGCAGTTAGAGTTAAAATAAAGATCTTCTTCCAGCTGGTCTGAGATCAGTTCATTTCATTTAATTTATTTAAATTAGGACAATCATATTAATCATCATGTCAGCAGTAAGCATCAATGTAAATATGCCGGAGTTAGCACAACAGCTAATTTTCATCTGTTGTCCTAAGGCACGCAAGAACAAGAGACATCCCACAAAACAAAGAGCAGAGAACAACACAAACACCACCTTTATAACACAACATGAAATTACAATAAAGATACGATGCCATAAGAAAATAGTGAATGTGCACAGGAGTGCACCTCTGGTTAGTTTTCAGCCAAAGTTTCAAAGAGTTTTAAAGCTGCAGTAGGTGCTCCTGATAGAAACTGGCAGTGTGTTCCACGACTGCTTGTTTCTCAAGGACACCACCATTTGGCCACATTTAGTCTGCGCCGCTGTAGTTCAGTGCTCTTGTGTTTACTGTATTACTTGTTTTTGTACTTATAAAATCCAGCTCCAGCTGGTCTGAGGAGCAGGGAGGAACCTCCTGTTAGCACAAGTCCCTCCTGGTTCCAGATGTTTGAAGCGTCTCTGAGGTTATTAGAAACAATTTAAAGGTCACTTAAACAACGTGTTATGTCAGCAGCTGTCCACTAGGTGGCATCACACCTGAGACAGCCTTCAGATAATTTGAATAAATTCAAAATGTTTTTAAATCTTTGCTTTTCCAAAACACAAAGCAGGTTGAGAGGAACAAGAGTCAGTTTTACTTTAAGCAGAATTACAAACTTTATTGAATAATTTGGATGTTTATCACACTTTTATGCTGTTGAGATGTTTAAAATAAGTTAAAGTGTTCATGGTGTTAAGTAATTATATAGGAAATATTTTTAAAGTGTTTTGTATATTTAATATTCTTAATAATAAAGTAGACTTTTAAATTTAATTATTTCTTCAACTTTTATCTTGAGCATGTATTTTTAGGTAAAGTACTATTTGAGTTTTGTTACCAGTGTTATTTTATATTTATGGACTTTGTGGACAAGGTGAGGGATGTCGTCATGGAGACTGATGAAACAATGGTCTCTGTTGATGTCACATCACTCTTTACTTCCTGTTGATGATGCAGTAGAGGTGGTCAGTTTAAGATTAAAATCAGACACCACTCTGAGCAGCAGGACCACACTTTCCACAGAACAACTGTGTCAACTCTTGAAACTGTGCCTGCAGTCAACCTACTTCACATATGGGGAGCAATATTATAGGCAGAAACATGGGTGTGCTATGGGGTCTCCAGTTTCTCCTGTTGTTGCCAACCTGTACATGGAGGAGGTAGAAAAGAGAGCCTTGACGTCCTTTTCAGGGACACCACCAAGTCATTGGTTCAGGTATGTTGACGACACCTGGGTTAAAATTAAATCTCAGGAAGTCCAACATTTTACTGACCACATCAACTCTGTGGATAAATACATCAAGTTCACA